GAGAGAGAGAGAGAGAGAGAGAGAGAGAGATGCGCCACATTTCAAGCTTCAAACAAAGATACACCGCAAGATTCGGGTCAAGGGGGACACAGTCAAGAAGTGAAGCGAAATTCAGATGACCTTCTAAACTTTTCTTGGAAATTCCAAAAAAAAAAAAAAAAAAACCTTGAAAAGTGGGGCATGCCAAATTCTTCTTCCCCCCTGAAGTCATATTTTGTAGAAGCATCCTTTGCGACGATTACAGCTGCGAGTCTTTTGCGGTCCGTCTCGATCAGTTTTGCACAACTCGAGACGGAGATTTTTGCCCTTCTTACAAAACAGCTCCAGTTCATGTCCTGTGGATTAGTTCGGGGGGGTTTGTGAACAGCAGCGCTGCTCCGCAAGTGTGAAATCCTCCCCTCGCCCCAACTCAAATATCCACTCTCTCTCTTTTATTTGTGGCCCATGTCTTCGCTTTGTATTAGTCCAGTATGCTGTAGGTATAGCAGCCAGGGCTATTTGCTTCATACCGCCATCTCGTTTGTGGTTTGAATAGAAAATTGAACAGTGCAGTGTACGTGGTGCCTCAAAACCTTTTTTTCCCGGGTAACAACAACGCCGTTCGCAGTATTTTGGTTGCAGCTCGTTGGTATGTGTACAGGAGTCACCGACTGTTATTTGTTGGCCATTGTGCAGTTCAGTTGCGTTGTTTGGCTGGAGTGTGTGCCAAGACTCAAGCCTCCTTGGCTTCCGAAAATGGCGTGACATAAATCTCTGTCATTATTTGAAATAAATATGACTACTGACACCTCAAACATTCTGTCAACTGAAAAGAACCTTTTTACTTTGTGTTCTCATTTTGTGCCCTCTCTTGTCTTACAGTCCTACAGAAGCAGAATGGAAGAGTAGGCATTGTCACCGGTGGCACCAGAGGAATGGGTTATGAGACCGCAAAACATCTGGCAAGACTTGGCATGCATGTCTTTATTGGTAGGTTTCTGTCGAGTCCGTTTGCACTCAGCAGTTTAATCTTTACCTTTGCTTTTAACAGTCAAGTCCAAGCCCCTGCATCTGAAAGCCCAAATCCTGACATCATATCCCATATAGGCCATCCCAACCGAAAGAATTCTTCACAAAGGTTTTGGTCACAAAAAAAAAAAAAAAAAGGCTTTCATTTCCACTCTACAGTGCGACACGTGCGCCTTGTAACACGTGTGCCCTATTTTTGGATGGGTGTCGGGTTTTCAATTCTTCGTCTTTCATTCAAATCCCTTCCTATAACGTTCATGCTGTCATTCTCATTCGCATCTAATCACCAGCGGGTGTACAGTATATGTTTTCGTCATAGCGGAACGAGAACGATTTCCTTCTTCCGTGTCCAAAAATCATACGAAATGTAGTCCGACTAGCTTAACGCTGCGGTCAGCTGAGCATTTCTGGCGCAGCGCCTTTCCAATGTTACAATGTGGGACAATATCATTGCGGTCTGTGGGACTGAGAGGAGAGGTAAGCATGTCTGGCGGTGGGTTTCCAATGTTCCAAAAGTGAGGCCAACATGAGGTAAAGTGCAATGCCAGCTTTAATGTATGCCAGGAGTGAACCAAAAAAAAAATGTTGGATAATGGTGAGTGCAATGACTGTTGAACTGTGAAGCAAGCAAGCAAGTTAGCATTTAGCATTAGCCAACGTAATGACACAACCACCGCTCACCAGATTGGCTGTCAATGTTCACACTTTTTTTGTTCGTAAGTCAGAGGATCCCCTCCTCCTTTTTGCACCTCCTTAAACGTGAATCCTTTCCTTAATTTCAAAATGTTGCGTTCAAAACACACATTTGCATGTTGAACGAGTATCTCCCTCTCGCACGTTAAATGATAGCATTTTTAGAAAGTAGGGGATTTTGTCTTCTGCATATTTTTAAATGTCAGAAATTATATCTGGATGCAATTACTAGTAAAATGTCAACGTTGTGTATATTTTGGACATGAATATATACTTTATATATTAATATTTATGAGTTCTAAATATGAGTAAAGAGCTACGTGACTTCTAATGACCCTCCTGTCATTCGTCCTCGTCATCTCCAGCCGGCAATGAAAAAGAGGAGGGCCTAGCCGCCGCGAGGACGATTCAGGAAGAATGCAGAGAGGGGAAAGGTAATTCTTTTCATACCTATGTCATCAAAAATGTCTTTCAAACTTTCTTTGAAGCAAAGCCAACCTTGCAAAAAAAACCCAAAAAACGTGTAGATATTATAGCTCAGCCACAATATTTTGCCTGTATTATTTTGATCACTACTGTCGGCGGTCTTAATTTGGACACGATTTGAACTTTTGCCATACAGTATGTACATATATGTGCATCACTTCGGCACCTGTCTGCGTGAAGGCTACTGTTGTTAATCTCTTTCCAAGATCGTGTTCCACTACTAACTTCTCATCATTTTCCAGCGGAGTTTCTCTTTCTAGATTTGACTTCCCTGAATTCAGTCCGGAAATTTGTCGAAACGTTCAAAGGCCGAGGGCTTCCCCTGCATCTTCTGGTGAATAATGGTAGGCGATTTTGTATCTGTCACTTTTTTTTTTTTTTGTGTGCGTTTTCATTCATTCAACGGTAGTCGACTATTTAGCACCTTCCATCACAGTACAGAAGTCCAGGGTTGGATTCCGGGCTTCGGCCTTCCTGTGCGGAGTTTGCATGTTGTCCCCGTGCTTGTGTGGGTTTTCTGCGGGTCCTCCGGTTTCCTCCCACATTCCAAAAACATGTGTGGTAGGTTAATTGGACACTCTACATTGTCCCGAGGTGTGAGTGTGAGCGTGAATGGTTGTTCGTCTCTGTGTGCCCTGCGATTGGCTGGCAACCGATTCAGGGTGTCCCCCGCCTACTGCCCGAAGACAGCTGGAGCGGATTAGAAAATGGATGGATGGATGTTTTATCTGAGTAGGCTTTTGAATGTTAAAAAAAATATACTACACTTAATTATTTACTAAAATTAGTGTCCATACACGATAACATTTTTGTTTTGTTTTGTTTTTTGGGGGGCAAAGTTCGAACAGATAAATGGCTTTTCCATTCATTTTAATGAGGAAAGACGATGACATCTTGTACGTGTCACTGCGTGTAGCTGGGACCATGTTGATCCCCGAGATGCAGACAGAAGATGGCTTTGAAGCCCACTTTTCTCTCAACTACCTCGGCCACTTCCTACTGACCAACCTGCTGCTCGATTTGCTGAAGAGATCAGGGAGTCCGGGCTGCTCTTCCCGAATCGTCAATATGTCCTCTGCAACACATTACGCGGGGGTTATACACATGAAGGATCTCAACAGGAGGTAAACGGTTGTTCTGATGTCCTTGCTTTGTTTATTTCTGGAAGTGAAGATGTTTCCTTCCTAAATATGTAACAACAATACAAATATATCACCTCTTTTTCTCCCTTGCCAGGCAAAGCTACAGCTCCCATGGTGCCTACGCCCAAAGCAAACTCGCCTTAGTCCTTTTCACTTACTACCTTCAAGAGCAGATGACAGCCCAAGGTTTCCCAGTGATGGTCAACGCCGTGGATCCGGGGATGGTGGACACGGCACTCTACAACAACCTGTGGAGCCTCGCGCAGGCGCTCAAAAAGCCGTTTGCAAAGACTTTGTTCAGGGTACGACAGACGTCTACGTGTCGGTCTGTAATTGTGGTTTTAGGTAACAATATGCCGACACACCACGTTATACATTGTGGCAAATAAGAAAGCGAAAATAACTACACTGTATGCGATCCTAGCCGTACAAAAGCTAACTTTTCAAAATGATTTGAAATAAACCTTTGCGTCTTTTCTTTTGTTTTCCCCCCTCAGACTCCAACAGAGGGTGCCTCTATCATCATGTATGCTGCAACTGCCTCGGAGATGGAAGGGGTGGGTGGCTGCTACCTCTACAACGGCGAAAAGAGACAATCAGCCCAAGACTCCTATGACTCTGAGCTTCAAGCGGAGTTGTGGAAAATGAGTTGTCAGCTTGCAGGTCTATAGAAGGCCTGATATGCAACATGGTTGTCCATCCAAGTCCTACAGATCCACATCAAACTCAAAACAAGCAAAACCTCAGGTTAGCAGATATTATGGTTTTTCCAGTGCAAATGAGATTAACATATAAGGGCTTTTCTCATTTAAATTAGACCAGTGAGTCCCGATCACTCTGTTGCGGAAATGATCCTCCATCCATTTTCTGAAACACTTTATCCTCACAAGGGATGCTGGAGCCCACCCTGGCTGACTTTTTCTTCCTCACTGTCAGCAATGTATAGTGACAGGAAGAACAATTAAATGCCCGTCCGCAAGTTTGCAAGCGGTCCAATGAACCTGGTTTTCCACCCGTTGCCATCGATATAACTGAATTCTGGCTTTGTGTTCAACTAAACAAGTCCAGATTTCTCATAAGTGAATTCATGAGTAAATTAATATGAGGGCACCATTATTTCTATCTATCTATCTATCTATCTATCTATCTATCTATCTATCTATCTATCTATCTATCTATCTATCTATCTATCTATCTATCTATCTATCTGTATGTCTATATGTATACAACCACATACATACACACACACACACTCACAGTATTTTCTGCCACATTTTTCTTTTATATTCTAATGTAAACTACGTGCCTGCTCTTGGCTCAGTTAAAGCTGAGTTGAGTATATCTGCTGCTGTCTCTGTGTTGAACTGGAGCTTACGCAGACTTTTGAAGCACCTCTACAGTGTAATTAAATTTTGAAAGTATTTTTATGTTTGTGTATTTTGAATTTTTTGGAACAGTCAGTTTTCATCAAACTCCAGAGCATTGGTGTATTTTTGCCTCCAGAACACAAGGTGGCGGTAAATACTTAATATGAGGCTGTGTTAGACAAAGAAGACGCTCACGCTAGTTCAAGAAACCAAACCCCGAGGTCGAGCGTGTGAAAACAAATATTTCCAGAACATTGTAAAACGAGCTTCATTTGCCGTAAAAAAATGGTTGGAAAAATTAAGAACGTGCGGCATAAGTTGCACCAGCAAGCTGTGAAGCTGACGTGGCCGCCGGGCTGTGCTTCGTCCAAAGGATCGGACGAGCCTTCTGCTTTCCAAATGCACCAGCCAAGTCATTCTCAAATGGAAAGTGGCTCTCCTGAAGTTACAGGGAAGATTCAAGTAAGTAGCGAGTAAATAACATCTCCCGGGCTTTGCTTACTCGTTCTTATTCCAAAACACGGTTTGTGTTGAATAACATCCTCCTTTTGGTCCGACCACAGTGGGCTACCAACACATGGTAACAGTGACAGCCAAAGAATTATTCCCCAATTTTCATTGAATCAAAGCACAATAGTACTGCCTTAGATTCAAGGGAACATAGTTTAAAATCCCGGTTGGGGATTCAGTGGAAGTTTGCGAGATGGTCGGCAGGTACTCATGAGCAAGACAGCCCACTCCCCCAATTGTAGATATTAAAACATAGCAATAAATAAAACGGTAAATCTTTTTTCTTTTAAATTCACGTTAAAAAAAATATAAAAATAATTACATAAACAATTTTTATATA